GAAGATAAGCCTAACTATTTGATTCTGATTGCACAAAATCCTCCAGCGATTCTTCACTAAGGTCTGTCACATTCAACCAAATAGACATATTCTGTTCCATTGTCTTCTTTTAAGTAGTGATAATTGACAACAAACTTCAATTCCTTTGCGCCTAATTTATTTAAAATTTCTCCGTGACATATGTGTTAAGATATGCTCTCATATTCTTCCTGTAATTAGTAAATAATTAAGTCAAGTATAACTAACTAAATGATTATTTTAAGAGATATTTATGTGCAAGAATCACAATATTTTTTATAGTTCCTAATAGTTTCTGTTATTGCAAATTAACCACATTTAGAAAAGAAACAAAGATACCATACGTAATATCTTGTATAAATAGAAGTAGTTTAACCATTGTAAGATAGATCGTAGACCATAGACATTGAAGTTGAACATTAAATGTGATCGTAATAAAGTAAATGGTTTGAACCCGGGAGTATCGTTACATGTTTGTAAATGTCGATCGTCCAGGTTGGTATAGTACTGAGAAGGACTGTTTTTGTTGTTGTTGACTGACGTTGCGACAACCTTAGCGGTAGTCATCTTCAGATGAAATGAGGAGTAAACGTCAGGTTAGCCGTATTTGTTATCTGGTTCTTACGTCATTGTATTGTGTGTACTGGAAATGTGTATTGTCATTGTGAATTAGTGTAAAGTAAAATATTTTTATTTTTAGTTGTGATGTGTGATTTAGGTGTGATGTTTTTAGTTGTAATGTGTGGGTGTCAATTGTGTATTGCCATTGTGAATTAGTGTGAAGTGTAATATCGATCGTTTGTTTGTATTGTGAATAAGTCGTTTGTAAGGTGCCGGTAATTGCTGTGATCTGTTCAGGAGGGTTTGTTCCAAGTTGGTATACCAACTTTCTAATGTTAGCCGTTGTCTATAGTCAGTACTGTAAGTAATGCATTATGCCGAGTCCCAGTCAATGTTGTGCTTTGTGATTCGGTGATGTTCGGCAATGTGATTAGTTTTGTCTTGTTTCTTAGTAGCTCGTTTGTGTTCAGTAAGTCTTATGTTTAAGTTCCTGCCAGTTTCCCCGATATAGGAGGCGTGGCAGTAGGAGCAGTTTATTTTGTAAACTGCACCTTGTCGTTCGTTGGGTTGTTCTTTGTCCTTTATGTTCGTTAGTACTTGTCGTAACGTTGTGATTGGTTTATGTGCGACACGTATGTTGTATGCAACGTAGAAAACAGTTCCAAGCTCATCAACGTTAATAAATTAGCACGATAAGCGACATCATGAAAACGTACGTCCTTGTATGTGTAGTAAAGCTCATAAACTTCTTTGTACCGATTTAATGTATACAACAAAGGTCCATTTTTAACTCTTCAGAGAGTGAAAACATCTTAGTCTGACATTGAACTAGAATTCGTAGCTTGCAACTAGTACGACCAACCGTTTAGGTTATTAGTTAAATTCGTTCGTTTGTGCAATGTATTGATTTTTGAGCAATACTTGCACGTCGTGTATTGTAATGAAGTACAACTAAATTATAAAGGTTTCATGACTTTCTCCATTTTCAATGTTTGTACTAGACTCCCTAAAGCTTCAAAAAATAAGGGTAGAGTATATACTATACTCGTCGACTTTAACCCCACCCCCAAATTTAAATCTGTTTCTACGTCTATGTATCAATTCTATGTATATCTATGAAACACCAAACCATTGGCGTTGTGGCTGGGGTACAGCCAGGGGGGAACACCCCACGAATGATTAAGGGGAGACACCACTACCAGAAGGCATAGGGGGGCCGCCAGAACGCATCTTTACAAACTCCTCAAAATTTATTTCAGGAAACAAAATTCAAACAAATAAAACCACTGAACGGCGGAACGGATCAGAAAAAATGGCGGACGGATCTATTTCTGCTGAGTTTCACCAAAATTGACCAATATTATTTCGCATTGTAATACAATTTGTAATCAGAATGATACAATATTTTGATCTATTCATATCCAACACTCTGTCGCGTTTTTGCTCAAAATGACAAGGAGCATATAATAAACAGGCACCGCGGAGGATTGATAATTGGGGGGTGGGGTGGCTAATATTTGGTTCCGTTGTTTTCTAAGGATTACAACATGAATATATGAATATGAGCCCCCCCCCCAAATTATCGACCCTCGGCGGTGCCTGAAACTTGTATGCCGAAGGTTCATCTGTATTGTCAAAAGCTCTATTTTGATAACGACATTAACATAAAACTGGCTTATTTTGTGTTGTTCAACACCTAAACTTTGTGAATTATAGCTTCGGGAATTGGTCCAGTTTGCACAAATCCTTCTTAAGCTATTTTTATAGTTATTATGGATATTATTATTATCTTACACAAACAATCTCATGAAGGGATTTTGAATTAAAAATGCTTAAAAATATTGTGCGCAAGGAGACGTAAAATATCCTGAGATGACGAGATTACAAGGAAAAGCATAATCACGGAGTATATGTTGAATGTTAGAAAGTATATCACTATGTATGGAAGATACAATTTATAAGTGCCTTTTACATAAATTTGATAGTATAACTTACTTTCATAGTCGGGGTAATATTCCGTTCCTTCACATTTAGACTCGTAACGTTCTGTCAATTGAAAAGTCACCAAACGTGTGACAGTATTTTAGTCAATAAAATTCGACTCAGAAAAAACCTTAAAGATATATCTATAGTTGGTGCATAAAGACATAAAATCTCTAGACGACAATTATCGAGGTAAAAAGATCAATAAAGTGTATGTATAAAGTGTATAAATGTTGGAAAATATATCCATATATTTGCATGTATAGCTTACACACAATTTACGAGGGTCTCGCATAAATTTGATTGTATATAACTTACCGTCATCCATGAAGTAACTTTTCATTCGTTGAAGGCAACTCTATAAGTTCTGTATTATCCAAGGTAAATACATCGAACTTAGGAAATTCTGCAATCCTAAATACAAATTTATCAAATCTTCGTCTTTCTCACTCGTTGAAATGAAAAGATTAAAATAGAATTCTTGCACAGTTTTTATATTCAATCATTAAGGCGTTTAAATTACATATAACATCATAACCTTCAACGCCGTACGTCAACAAAGCAACTTTCCGTTATTATTAGCCTTAACATAGATGAAAATTTATAAAAATTAAACATACGCAGGAAGAAAATTTTCAGAAATTGTACTCATCCTTGTTAAACGTTACTTGTATCAATGTTTTAAAACATCCAAATGTATGAAGTTAATCGTCAAAAATCTACGATAATCATTTGATGCACGCCAAATAAGGGTGTTTTTTTTTACAAATTATTGTCGAAACAAAAATATTTAACATAATAGTAGCAAAGTAGCTACATCTTAGGGGAAAGCTTATCATTCACAGATTCTAAAAATTATGATTACCCAACAAAACAACAAAATCACAAAAAATTTGTCACAGCAACAAGGTAGCTATAACAAGGTATAGAAAAGACTACTATCGTCAAGTTTCATCTTTATACACTTGATTTAAAACAAATTAAGTTTACTTTCACCAATTATGATGAAGCTATCACAATCAGGGACACCTTAAACTCAGTAAGGCAATGGGGTCTTTGTCAATGTGAACGTAATTGGAAGTTAATTTTTTCCGTACAAATCTCTACCAAGAAATTTAAAAGCATAAATCAAAACACAATCCGCTTATTGTAATCACAGCAAATGGAACGTTTTATAGTATAACTGTTTAATGTTTGTGATTAACCATTGATTGCAGTCGACTAGATTTAAAACACAGGAGATTCTAAATTTGGACAACCGAATCAAACAAGGCGCTACCATGCAACACCTAATGAGAAGAAAAACCTTAAGGTATTGGCATGTAAGATATACAGTATTAGAATTTAGAATAGTCCGTTCATCTAAAATGCAAGAATTCATTGAAAATGTGATATTACGCGTGTCAATGACACACTTCATTGCATAACTATTTAAGATGCAACTATTTAAAATAACAAGAAAAAGATCTTTGTTCATTCGATACTAGCGATACCGAGAATTTGTCTATTTTATTTTCCTATTATCATTCTAATCGAATTCTTCCTGGTAAATGTTCAAAATTATTTTTTGTTAACTGTAACTAATAAGAGACTGAAAGATATGTGTTAAAAACAGAAATTGGGGATTTGTACATGGAATTAAAGACTGTTACGCTCAAAAACTAAATTGAATTTGTGAAGTCTTTTGTTTTGTATAAAGGTAATAACAAAATGTTAAGAGTTTTCATTTAGGCATTGGAAGTTCGATTTAATCGCCAAGAGACTGACTTTCTATCTTATAAAAACCCAATACAAACTATTGGCGATTGAATCAAACGCCTGACGCCTGAAATGTTCTTAAAATGGTTATTAGGGTATTGAAAGAATTCACAAATGCAATCTAGAATAGCAACGTGTAGTTTTTATCCAGTAAAAACATGTCACAACTATGTTTGTAAAAATTCTCTCTCCTTTAAAAGTTCCAACAACCTCCACTTCGTCACCGTTTTTGCTTCCGTCTGACAGCACAAATGCCTTCTTCTGCAGCTCGTGACCTTGAGAGAAATAAATATTTCTTTTAGAATGTAGCATTTCAAATTCAAAAGATCACAACTGGAAAAACATGCTTTATGGAGATTTCTCTATGCAGATTTCGTAAATGACTGCATTTCAGTATGCTCACAATCGTAAAGTTGAAATGTGTTTGAAAAAAGTATCGTCTACAAATAAACAGTTATTACAAATAAACATTAATTCCAATAAATCTTGCGTAAATCTACCTATAGCAAAAAACAAATTGTTTATGAACGGACTGTTTCTTAAATTATTCAACTGAAATTTTCTTTATATCATACTGGATGATGGCTTGGGCAGCAAGAAAAAATCTTTACTTTATCGTTTCAGTCACCATTTTGTTGACCTTGCAACTGTTCATGAAAATACTTCGGACATTTTGTGAATTTGACAAAATGCATTAACAAAAATAGGTACGCTTGCGTACACGTGGGAAGCCTGTAAAACAGGAGACGCAAAAAGATTGAAACAAGTGGAGTTGCAATCACTTTAACACAGAATAAGAATTTTCTAGTATGCATAAATTTAACAAATCGCAATTGTTAAGAGACCATCCGGCAATTGCAATGAAATATGAGTTATGATTGATCCCATTTATCTATGCTTCAAGACCTGGTATTTAAATTGTTCAAACAATATTACTCTTTTGAAACATTGAATTCATTGATTGACAACTTGTTTTATCATGATACTTTGAACTCCTCATAATAACAACAGAATTGTCATTATTTGTGGGGGATTGAAAAAAGGTTTGAAGTTTTTGTAAATAAGAAATATGATAAAAAGGCAGTGCAAAACAAGAGAGTGTCATAACAGACATGATGTCTGCCACTCTCTTGTTTTGCATAGCCTAATTTCTTGGACAAATAAAATAACTCACCTTCAATGTTGCAAACAGACCAGTGAGACCTCTCCCAGAAAACTGTACAGCTCAATATTAGTGCAAACTAGATAGACAGTAATGAGTAATTGTAAACAAACATTAAAAGTACTCATTGCAGATATATTTTCATTCAGTGACTGTGTCCGCATGAATTGAGCATAATAATAACGGAAACCAACAATTATATACTTTTTCGGAGCCCATTTGCAGATAGTTGGGGTGTTTTTTGATTGCATAACAAAATAATGTGTTAATGAAAACCATTTGTAAGAAATAGCTTTAGGTGCACTTATGTAAGGAATTCTCTTTTCAATAATACAAAAATCAGGTGCACCTTTACGTGAAAATATGATCTTTGGCCAACTCTGGCCAGCAAGGGCGGAAATTTTTCCAAAGCATTTTTTCACAACACAGGAATGTCTTCAGGGGAATAGGCCTGAAATTAAATAAGCAAATACTTGATTTAATAAAGTTAAATATAATTACTGGTAAACAAAAAACTAGCACATAATAAATGCTTAAAATTGCTTAACTAAATAAGTCTTCATTTTCAACATATCACAAGTGTATGATACCTTCATATCAATCACCAACAATTTACACATAAATTCATTCACTTTTCTTGAGCTTCAAAGAAATAATCACAAACAAATCCTAAAACACTTCTCCAATGTTTTTCTAGAAATATATCCCACAATTACACATGACATCATTTTTGTCTAACCTCGGACATTCGTTTACTAGAATTTTTAATGTCATGGCATTTTTCATTTTATCTTAGTATAATTGCATTAATCATGTCCGGTGATACCACAAATAAAAATAAGCCTTCACTTTGTAGCCCTTGTTCAAGCTTTCATTTAATATCATACTGCAACTTATCTCACTATATCTCATTCATATTTAATTATAAATTACATACTTGAATAATTACAAGCTAATATGCACAAAACCAACAAAAGAGCCTGAAGGGGAAATTTTATCTATAATCATTAACCAATACTTGCATAAAACTATTTTCATTTAAGTTCATTTTGTAAATATTTATATTTTTGCAAACATTTAATAAAGATGTTTCCATTTGAAAAAAATTCTAAACATTCATCTTACTTGCCGCCAGTTACTTTCTTCAGTCGATAATAAAACTTATTATTTTTCCATGGCCTGATGTCTTTTAACAGCCACAAACGTTTGCCATCCACAGCAATCAAACACAAGTTCCTAAACTGCATAAATGATCGGTGTAAACTAACAAACCAACAGGGGCCTAGAGAGGAAATTTGATCTATAAAAAACATTAACCCATTTAAATCCATCATATATATCATATCTACTCACATTGAAGCGTTGATGATAAACAAACTGTGAATCATTGTGATATCTACATATACTAAACCTATAATAATATATTTCTCGTTTACTTAACAAACTTTGATGGTTAAAAAACTATTTTCATGTGAGTTCATTTCGTAAGTATTTATTAATTTTATTTATATTATTGCTAGACAATATTAAGGACGATGTTTCTATTTAAAAAAAATTACATTCAGCTTACTAGTCCCCAGTCCACTAAAGACTCACCGACCTTACCTGACTAATCTTCGCTTCATGATCATAAAGATTTTCGTCTTCATCGTCAAAAAAAAACAAATCAATAAAATGTAAAAAAACCTCAAACAGTTATAAATGAAATATGATGACGGATAAAATACCATGTGATACGTACATACAAGGAGAGGTGCTTTGCTTTTAGCCGATTTTATTTTGTTTCGAAAAACGTATTTAGAAATAGAGATGCATGATGGACCGTGATTTTCTTGTCATGGATTCTTATCAAATTTGATTTTCATCGACTAAAAAAAACAACTAAAAACTCTCGAGGAAAATATCAAACTCTAACATTTTACATGATCATATATCAAACTCAAATGTAACGTAAGGCAGCTAGTTCGAACAGACCTTAACGAACAAGTTACGAAAGAGTTCTGCCTAAATACCTAAGCTAGGTCATGCAGTTATTGATCCACAGACCTCAGTGATGTAATAATCATGTATAATTATTGTGTAACATGTGAAAAGCCAGGAATCAAACTTATCAAAGTGTTTCTGTAATGGCCGAGTGTTGAAATTAAGTTGAACATAAATTTTCAAGAAGCAATTAGAATTAGAAATTTTATCAACATTTCTGTTGTTTTCATGTAAGACACTCACCAGTGTTATGCCATGCTGCTAGAGTTGATTTGTTGAATAACTTGCATACGTTAAATAACATTGTATTTACTGTCGGAAAGACTAAATCATATTGCTAACGAAAAGTTAATAAAAACAAACAGGAAAAATGTTATTCTGTATGGTTCATGTATCGTTACAACATGTTTGCTGACCAATGATTAAACAAAAAACCAAAAATCATACAAGGTTTATTTATAATTATGATAATTTCTAATTAGCAGCAATTTTAAAAAACACTTGAGAAAAACGACGATTTTTTTGAGAGCAAACATGTTTCGACATTATCAGATATTCTGATAATGTCGAAACATGTTTGCTCTCAAAAAATCGTCGTTTTTCTCAAGTGTTTTTTTTTATAATTATGAAATAGACAAACACAATGAATTAAAAACAATTTAAACGCTAAATGTACATAGCATCAAAATTCTTCACGAACGAAAATATTCTCGTTCTAATAATCTCGTTTCTCTTAGAGCAAAAAAACAGGATGTCAGATATGTAAGATTTTCATTTATGTTATATGGTTAGTTCTTTACAAAGTAAAAGTTTCATATATTCATAATTATTGGATTATTACATTATCAATAAGGAGTTAGTACCTCGTAAATGTTTTTAAAATAACTGTTACTACACGACAGCCATTTAGGACTGCATAAGGACTGGGGAAACATGATTGATCTTGTTTATATAAATGACCAAACTTTTACAATGGCACTCAATCCAGACTTTGAAATTGTTAATTTTTAGAGAATTAAAAAGACAATGTAAAAGTTAGTTCCAATAAAAATAACTATGACTGATGTCATGGGAGTTTTTCAAGGGAAATGTTGTCGTGGAAGGTTTTTTCGTCATCTGTAAAATATTGACCATTGTTAAGATTCAGTTCATTCAAAGCTATGTCCAATTTCAAGCAGATGAGGTAAGCTTCATCATCATATGGAGTCCCCAGGATGAAGTGATGGAATCACACGTCACACAATAACTGAATTTCGAAAATAAATTTGTTTGAGTTCTAGCACCAAAAAGTTGCATTCGGAATTTTGTCTTTGGAGACTGCAAAGAGAGATAATATAGTAACAAATCAAATGATAGTGTGCTATATCAATATATCAAGTCAAAAATAAGCCAAAACTCTTGAGCAAAATACCGAACTATATCTTACTACATGTTCACATCTCAAACACAGATGTAATGTGAGAAAGTTTGTTGCAACAGACCTTTGATAAACAATTCACGTAAGAGCTTAGCACAAATATCTTATCTAAGTCATACAGTTATTTGTCCACAAACTCCATCACCACAACGTATATAGTCAACTGACAAGTAACAAACCAGAAACTTAAGTGTTATGCAGTACTCCACCTTGTGAGAGTTGCATACATGGTTATGATCTTCAGGTGAAAACACTGGGTCTTCTAAATGAAGAACAAGTATTGGGGGAGAGTAAATTTGTTGAAGAACGTGTAAAATTATTTCACATTATTTCACTTGCAAAAAAAAACAAGATCGTCATATACGAAACGTTGTCGCTTGCTACCTGTGGTAGCTTTAAAGCTTGTTTTTGTTTTTTTTTGAGCAAGAGCTATATACTCATAATTAATGCATAACTACAGATTTCAGGAATTTTTGCTTTTTAATTGATTAAATTAAATAAGTGCAAACCAAACAAATATTTATTTATAAATACATGACGGCAAAGTACTGAAATTAGTCATGTTGAATGGCAAATACTTAGTAAATGTTTTTATAGTAAGAGTAACTACATGACAATGTAAATGAATAGAAACGTGCAGTATGTAATATCCATCTGTTTTTACTCACTCATCAAATCTAGCTGTTTAAAAATCTACAGTGGAAAGTAAATAAATGAAGTTTTCGCTTTTACAGCATTCGAAACTTTGCTTCTTTCAATGGTTTATATCGTAATTCGATGTATTTCGATGCTTTCCATTTTAACTTTTCATCGATCTCATTTTTGATAGCAGCCTCCGAATTTTCTTTCTCAAAATCAATTGTGCTTGTGACATACAAATGAAGAAACGGCATCTTCTTGTTTGGGCGAGCTATTCCATACTTCCCACTAAGCCACGAACAACTTAAACAAGAAACGATAACTATATATTGTCTAAAAACTATTTTTCGTAATGTTCCGACATGTACAGGTCAACATACATAATCGATATTCCATGAAAGAAAAATTACCTTTGTAGAGCCTCGTGAACGTCAGCTTTAATATTCTTACTTTTGTCTAGAAGTTTATGGAAGTTGACGTCATGATTGGCTTCTAAATATCATAAAAATATAATTGATAACTTTGGTGCACCAATATTAACTACGATGAAACTTCCATACGATAAGACATAAATAAGCCTGAATATAGACTAATCCTATACATGGGATCATCAATTACTTTGCTCTGGATTTCTGGTTTTGGTCATGATAATTTATACGCTATGACGTTAATCAGGTCATATTAATCTTATTCACAAGATTAGAGTTTTTTATCACGTTTTCGACATGGTATAAGAATGGCATTTACAGATTTTTTGCAAGTAACATAAACATAAAATACCCTTTGCAGAGTTACTGGTTTCGGCCTCAATGTTTTCTTCTGAGGCGTCACGACAAAAAATTCCTATTTGCTCTTAAATAACAGGTACGATAAACAATTATATCAAATTTTTACCGTGGATACGATCATTTAATCAACTAATTTAAAGTATTTAACCAAGGTCGTTTAGTTTCTGAAATATTACCGGACAAAAAAAAAGTTGGCAAAAAACCGTGCGAAAATATTCGCTTTTTCTGAGTTATAAGAAGTTCTAGATATGCCTACCTGTTTCTACTGCCAAAATATTGTAGTTCCCGGTTAAATACACAAACTATTAAAGTTTCCAAAAACTTGAATCATCGAATAAAGAGAAAATTGTGTTTTTAAAGAAGCATTTTCATGTCACGAAAACACAAACATTGCAAGTACATATATAGCTCAGTGTGTCATAATACAAACAAACAAACAACATTTATATACCGGCCAGTATTAATCCCCGCCAGGGGGGTTGACCGGTCCATGAATTTTTCCACGCCACACATCTCTATCTCTCGCCATATCTCTCGTTATACCCATCGCCTTCATATCACTGTTCACAACATCCATCCATCTCTTTCTCGGTCTACCTCGTTTGCGGACTCCATCAACATTCATATGCAACGTTCTACGAATTTCAGCACTTTCTTCCCTCCTTTCCACATGCCCAAACCACCTCAAACGCTGGCGTCTTACCCAATTCTCGATACACTCAACACCAACTCTTTCTCTAATCTCTTCACTTCGAATCCTATCCATCAACGTTACACCACATCATCCTAAGCATTCTCCTTTCCGTCGACGCCAATCTTCTCAGGTCCTCTGCTTTCGGCGCCCAACACTCTGCTCCATATCCCAAAACACTTCTAACACATGCCTTATACAATTCTCCCTTCTGCTTCAACGAAGTCGACTTTCCGCACAACATTCCCGACAACTCTCTAAAACTCCACCACGCTGCTTGAACTCTGTTCCTCACCGCTTGCTCCACCATCATTTAACACATCGCCCAGATATTTAAACTCCGATACACCTTCCAAACTCACGTCACCCAGTTCAAACCGTTCAATCGCGACTCGCCCACCACTTCGACACGTCCCGCACTCAAAATCAGTTACTCTTGTCAATGCACCACGGACACCTGAACATCTTCCATGAACCCACTTACTGCATTTCCACACATTATCCAACTTCCTCCACACCACATGGCCATTTATCACTGTCCTTCACCTCCACCTGCCTCGAGCATCTCATGCCCTTCGTCTTTGCCTCATTCACTTTCAGTCCCTTGACTTCTATTGCCGTTTTCCATTCTCGGTACCATTCCAGAACTTTCTGCTTCGACTCCGCCACCAAGACAATGTCATCTGCATACAACAAACACCAGCATCCTTCTTTTTTCTCACTTCCTCTGTCAGTACATCCATCACACAAGCAAACAGTAACGGCGACAAGACTGAACCTTGATGAACACCAACTTTTACCTCAAAAACACCAGATCTAGCACCTTCCTCCGTAACCACCGCCTCTACACCTTCATAAGTCTCCATAACTGCCCGAACCATATTCTCTGTCACACCTTTCTTACGCGCGCGTACTCGATCACCTTTCGGAACTCTATCAAACGCCTTCTCCAAATCTACAAACACCATATACAATTCTCTGTCCTTCTCCAAAATTTCTCCTGCAGCTGCCTCAACACAAAACGCATCCGTCGTTCCTCTCCCCGGTATGAATCCATACTGCTCTTCCCCATCCGAACAACTTCCTCAACCTTCTTTCAAACACTCTACTATTTCAACGCATGCTCCATCAGCTTAATAGTCCTGTAATTCCCACATACCGTCGCTGCTCCTTTCCTTTGTACCACTAGACTCTTTCTCCATGTACTCGGCATCTTTGAGCCCCTCAAAACCTCGTTCGCTACATTACACAACTCTCTCACGCATAGTTCATTGTCCAACATTTCGCTACCCACTTCACTCGGTCCCGTCGCCTTTCCTTTCTTCATCTTGCGCAGAGCCGCCGCCACCTCATCAACAGTCACTATTTCCCACGGCCCAAAAACTTCATCCGCTTCAACTTCTCCATTCCACTCATTCTCTACATTCATCAAACGGTCACAGTACGCCCTCCACACTTCTAACCTGTCTTCCAATAACACCTTCAACTCCCCATCGTGGTTCTGCACGCCGGGAGCACCCAAAATATCGTTCCTCTCCTTCTTGCTCCTTCTAGCTGTTCTAAACAACGCTTTTCTTCCATTCTCCTGCATTTTTACGAGAAGCTCTTTCTGATGTCTTTCTTTCGCTTTAGCCACCTCCTTTCGCCTTTTCTTGAATCCACTTCTTGACTTGTTGATCCCACCACCATGCCTGTTCTTCTACTACACCGCCTTTACTTCTACAACATACCTTCTCTGCTGCCTTTAAAACACCCTTCTTCCACGTCCATCGCTCCTCCACCGTCTCCCTCAACATTCAATGTCGCAATTTCGTCACGAAAACACTGCTTCCCTTCATTCGATCGTAACTTCCATAGCTTAAGCCTGCCTTTACCCTCAACCTTTCTCCTTTTCCTTCCTGATTCTCCAGTCCATGACCAGCAGCTTGTGCTGGGTCACACATTCTTCTCCTGCAATCACTTTTGCATCCTTCACGTTTTTCCTCTCTTCTTCATTCACCAGTATATAATCCACCACCGTCCTACTGTCACCAGATTCATACGTCACAAGCTTGCTTTCTTCCTTTATAAACCACGTATTCACTACCACCATCCCACAACTCGCTGCTAACTCTAATATCGTCTCGCCTTCAGCATTCATATCACCAACTCCAAAACCTCCATGCGCACAGTATCCTTTTCTTACGCTTCCCACATGACCGTTCCAATCACCAAGCATCACACATCGCCCTCTAATGTCTGCTCTCACTGCATACACGCTGTCGTAGAACTTTTCCTTCTCCTCCGCACTTCGTCCAACCTGCGGAGCATACACCACATGTTCAGTGTGTCATAATGAAAAGTAAATATTCTCGCAAAAAAACTATTTGAAAAGCCTTTTTCATGTCATGTATAAATAGAAATAACATATTTCATGTAAACAATGCATGTTCTTTTCATGCATTAAATGGCTCTTTTAAAAGCACTTTGCTGGGCTTTGATATTTATATTTGAAGTTCGCTTTCCGTCCGGTATATCCCTGGTCACATTTATAATTCAATGCATAAACGTGTCAGCGGGTATAAACATGCTATATAATACTTCATTTTATACTCATCCAAAGGGTAAAAGTTGTTAACATAATTGAAATAAATTTAGTTGTTTTAACATATTTTAATATGTGGTATCATATTTGATACCAGCGGTATTACAGTAAACTACATTAATGTAAATTGCTTTGCAATGAAAATAATAATTAATTTTGAAAAAAGAAAGTTGGTTAAGTAAATGTTTTATGGAACATTACTCTGTTGAGGGGAAAAACTTTTTACTTATAAAACTATTTGTTATTAATACATCGTAAAATGTTTATTTAATTAGTTTCTATAATAAATGAAAATACTAACCTTCGAAAAGGTCCATAGGTTCTGCAATGTAGAGGAAAATAAATATTATTTTCACATTTACTGAAGACATGTCAAATTAACTACCTAATTGCTGAAAATTGAGACTATATAGACAGAAAAGCTTTCATAAAATTAATTAATTTTTCTTCAATTCATCAAATCAGATGCACAAATAACAATAAACATTATCGATATTGTTATATCGCATGACTATACTACGAACAAGGAAAATATAACTGAGCTGTAAAACGTTTCAGAGAGCTGTACAAATATACTAAACAGAGCAGTCAATAACTAAGAATACTATTGGTTTATTATTGATCTTTTCATTTTCCTCGACAGTTCCCAGTAAAAAGTTGATCATGTTCTAGAGTTGCATAATTAAGCAAATTTATTTCTGCAATAATTATGACGGCAGGTTAATGTACTGAATGCAGGGTATATACTACACATAGTGACTCTTCCTAATATATTAGTTACAATGCTTTTTTAATCATCGAGGGCAGTGAAAAGAAAATTTTTGGACTTTATAATATTCACAATAGGTTTGTAACCAATTCATTCGTAACCATATGTAACCAAAAAAAAGTGAAAAAACAAATTTAAGAAAACACTTTTAGAAGTGGACTTATTTAAACAGCCCCGACTTCTTTAATTGGTTATTTATGCCTCTCGTCTTTAGCAAAAATGGCCCTATACAATACTCATCATGTTCGACACACCACACATGTAGTTTTACAGCCTTAAATAAAATGAATTGTTTCGATTCATTCAAATAATTTATATCAATTGAGAAATAATTGTATTTTTCGTGTTTGTATATAAAAGGACATCATACTATACACAACGCCTGGCTATTCATGTTTGACAGTGGCTTACATGTGATTTTATGATTTTTATGTGCTACATAAACAAATTTTACATCTACAGTCTATATATCATTGGCGATATTAAATTCAAGTGCGATTTCTAGCGTATCAGTAAAAAAGTTTTTGATTTGATCAAATTATTCCATTTTTATGGCGGTTTAAAGTTGTGAAAATGCCCTTTTTGATGGACGATGTTCGTCTTAAGAAAATTATGGGAATGCAATACATTTCCAATGACCAATTCAAAGCCATATGAATAAAATTGTTCATGTATGGTCTGTATTGTCATATCAAATTAAAAAACGAATAAACACTTGGCGGAGGAAATAAGAAAGACTTATTCTAAACCATGAGCATTTCATATTTTTACTATGTCTCTAAAGTTAAACTAGAGTATTTTGTATATCCTATAATTCTTCTTAAGTCGATATTTATTGATAAAACTTACTTTTTAAATTTGTCTTCGTTGTAAAACGTCTTCCTGCCAAACTTAGCGAGTGTCGGGAATTATGAACAAACGTTTGCAAGTAAATCCATGACGACGGTCGTCTACCAATGAAATTCCCTGAAATAGAAACGTTTACTAAATTGCCATGTTTATTTAGAAATTTCAATCACTAATATTTAAACTGAACATTGACACGCAGTTTTCTCTCTTTATAGGCCCGTTTACACGAGCAATTTTAACATGACAATTTTTATGCGACAAATACATTTGACCGTGTAAACGACACAAAATATATGTAAATATATCTGTTCGCATGGCGATTGATGTATTGCGCCCATTGTAATAATGAACAGTTACATGTCCATACTTCATTTTACAACGTACTTTTAATGCAATGTTAGTGCAAAAATGGCGCTGACCAAGGCCGAAAAACTTCAAGCAGTAGCTATTATTACATCTCTAATGGTGCACGAAGTGAAAAAAAACGAAAGTCACGACGATGGTGGGTAAAACCGTGGAAAACTGCGCAGCGCCCATACGCACAAGGGTTAGCACAAAATTTAATTCAAGAGATCCGAGTGACTGACCATGATGTATTTAGAAATTTGTTTCGGTAAGTAAAGAAATGTGATAGTCTTTTTATTCATGCACTCTTCAAAATTAAGCTAGTCAATGGATTGTACAATCAATTCAAATTTTACGTTCTTTTTTTAATAATGAAATTTTCTTATTTTCTTTACTTTTATTTACAAATTATAATCTTTACTACTTTTAAGGATGGGTTCCATTTTGTTTGATGAGCTACGTGAAAAGTTAACACCATTCATTGAAAAGAAAAACACCACTATGAGAGATGCTATATCTGTTCTTGATCGCTTGTGTGTAACATTAAAGTTCTTAGCATCAGGATGCTCATACAAAGATTTGATGTACAGTTTCTGAATATCAGTTTCACCTATTTCAAAAATTGTCCCTGAGGTCTGTGAAGCTTTGTATAATGTGCTGAAGGAAGAATATTTAAAGCCACCCACAACAAAGCAACAATGGTTACACATTGCTGATGAATTTAAGTGCAAATGGCACTTTCCCCATCTAGTTGGCAACATTGATGGTAAACATATCAACTTGTGTGCACCTCCAAACTCAGCCTCTGAGTACTTTAACTATAAAAAACATTTTAGCATAGTCCTCTTGGCTATTGCAGATGCAAATGCTAAATTCATCTTATTTGATCTTGGAGCCCCTGGCAACCAGTCAGATGGAGGAATTTTTAAAGACAGTCACCTTAAAAACATATGCAAGACATGCTATTTCCCACAAGCTGAAGAACTAAGAGATACATTATTGCCTATACCTTACTTTCTGCTTGGAGATGAGGCATTTGCTTTGAATGAAAATCTAATGAAGCCATATCCACACCGGACTGCGATAGGTGATGAGAAAGTTTTTAACTACAGACTTTCACGAGCACAAAGAATTGTCGAAAATGCATTTGTATTGATGTGTAGTCGATTCAGATGTCTTTTGAAAACATTGGAGTTGGATGTTCCAAATGCAATGCAGGTGGTGAGAGCCTGTATGGCACTGCATAACCTTTTGATTACTCAGAAGTACCAGGGTCAGGGAAGGAAATGTTGTGAATGGTTCTTGGAGAACACAATTAGGCAATGAAAATGAAGTATGTGACATCCAGCCAGATGCCAGTGCCCGCCCATCATCAATTCATGCAAGACAAATCAGAAATGCTCTTAAAGACTATTTCTTTGAAGAAGGGGCAGTTGATTTTCAATGGACAATGACAAACTACAAAATTATAACAAAGGTTACTTACGGTTACAGAGAAGGTAATTATTTTGCAGGAAAAATTGCTTGGGAAAGAAATTGGGATATTAAACAATCTAAGGAATTCATTCAATTTTACGACTTTTTTTCCATAAGTTCCAATTTTTCCAAAGCATCTTTTAATCTCAAGCAAATGTAGAACGTCTCCACTTTTCCGTTTTGGTCTTTCTTCCTCAATTCAGCAACACCATATGCAAAACGTCGTTTTTTCTTGTTTTCATCATCACAAAAATACACAAGAGATCCTGAATCTCCGTCCATTAGAAACTTAACATCACTTTTTACCAACACTGCGTTACAAAATACGGATCTTCCGTCGTCGTCATCAAAATTAAACATTAGATCCTCAGTTTTTCCAAAACGTGCCAGTGGATCGCATGTAAGGAATATCATCGCGTTCCACTTCCAGTCGCTTGTTGGATAGAGGTCGAACCTTCCACACCTTTGACGGGTCGTTTGGTCGGAATTCGATGTACTTTGAAGCTTGCCAACCAAGTTTCTAGTTGATTTCTTGTTTCATATTATGATCAGTTATTCCGTTAGCGTAATCAACGACCATGTACAAGTGACGATATGGCATCTGGTCAGTTGGACCCGCTGTTCCACATTTTCCACAAAACCAATCAAAGCTGCAAATGTGGAAAAATCACGGAAAGATTGAACAATAAAGCAGAAAAATATCTTCGCGTGGATAAAAACTCAACTGGAATTGAAGGAATATAAAAAAAACACAAATAGTAAGATTTACCTTTTCAATTTCTTATGCACGTCATTGCTCATTTTGAAATCGTCGGTGAGAAATTTTTTTTTGAAGAATTGAAAGTCATCGGTACCTACATATCCTCAGATAGTTGCATAAAATTAATATCAACGGTTAAACATGCAATCCATAGTAAATAAAGTGTCGATTTTACCTGTAATTTCCGATGTCAACGGAGCACCAGTTGATGTGACTGGATTCTTTTCTATCAATACAAATTTATGATTTTTAGTTGTTCTGAGTGTGCACTGTTTTCAAGTCTAAGATAATGATAAATCATAATCATTAAATACCATTAACATTTGATGAGAGTTTCATGTTTTTTAATTTTTCTGACGGTGGCTGTTGATGAACACGGGACCAGTGAGACCTCTCCCAGAAAACTGTACAGCTCAATATTAGTGCAAACTAGATAGACAGTAATGAGTAATTGTAAACAAACATTAAAAATACTCATTGCAGATACATTTTCATTCAGTGACTATGTCCGCATGAATTTAGCATGATAATAACGGAAACCAACAATTATATACTTTTTCGGAGCCCAATTGCAGATAGTTGAGGTATTTTTTGATTGCATAACAAAATAATGTGTTAATGAAAACTATTAGTAAGAAATAGCTTTAGGTGAACTTATGTAAGGAAATTCTCTTTTCAATAATACAAAAATCAGGTGCACCTTTACGTAAAAATACGATCTTTGGTCGACTCTGGCCAGCAAGGGTGCAATCTTGTGTGAAGCAGCTGGTCTGAAGGAACTTGTATTGTTTTTCCAAAATGAAGCAGTTCTGAAGTTCAAGAATGGTTTTGGTTGCTAGAATTGTTCCTGTTTGCGCAGGTGTCCACTTGGCATTTGATTCTGATCTTATTTTCAATTGGGTAAAAAGTTTAATGATTGATTCAAGGAAAGATACAACTTCTGTATGTTTTTCATGTGTGTAGAGACTGAAACCCATTGTTGAAGAACGTGATGTCATCAGGTTGTACCACAGACCAACTTGATCACAAAACCATGCTGTAGTTGTGGCATTCTTGAGCAGGACTTTTTCTGGAATAAGAAAGCGAACGGGTACCATCACTTCGTTTGCCGATGAAAATTCTCCGGAGAAAATTACACGCACATCACTTATATGTTCAACCTTGACTTTGGGATCTTGTCCATATTTAATCATTTTTAAAAACAATTGTTTATGTTTAGTTGATTCATCAACGCATTTCCACTGCAATTCTGAAATTGGAGTAAAAATATTACTTTTAAAGATTATCAAAACAAGAAAATGGATTAACTCCGCCATTGCCCAAATGATTTGGATAGTAATTGAAAGCACATCAACTTAATTACAACCATTTTATAAATCACTCATTAAAGCATTCAGTTCAGGTAAAGTAATATTGGTATAATGCATCCAGAGGCGAAACTAGAGCGCTAATTGGGGAGGGAAGGTGGTGGGTGATATTCAAACATTCAGCCCTGCTGATTTCTTTTGAAAATAAAATCACCAACAAAAGAAATGTCGAAATGATATTTTTTTTGTAAATATCTGCATTTTTGTGCGTAGTACTTCGTCTCTTTTGTATTTTTTCAGACTCCCAAATAGAAATAAGTACCATCACTTCTTCATAAGACCAGGTTTCTCCGCGTTTCGACACATTTGCTTAAATAATAAAATAGAGACTTTGTCGTGGTGACAAATCTGAAAATAGTTCTAAAGATAGCAAAACGACACGATGCATTTCGGCAGACTACTCCTCAGATGTTAACGTCTGCTACATGAAAATTTACAATTTCTCGATATTTATAATGCCAAGAAAGAGTGTACGTCATCTCAAAAAGGGGAGATGACACTCAAAACAGAGATAAACTAAAAACATAATCCTTTTGTCGGCAGAGGACGGATTGGTTAACTTAATTAAAACAGCCTCCATGACGCGTAACTGAAAGAATGAAGGGCATTTCTTAAATGATTCTAAATGAACTCCTCTGAGGACAGTCTAAGCGTTCGCTTTATTAAACACTTTACTAAAGAAATCTTTTCTCTGTGTGAAGAAAAAGCGTCAAAGCATGTGTACAAACCCGTAAAAGTTGCCTTGCGATGAATGCTTGTAAGGAATTGACCGTTTATGGACAAGAACATCCAAAAACGCTAACTGACAATTTGATTGCTGTTCAGACGTATAATTTAAAGAAGGGTGAAGAGAACAGAGTTTATGTAAAAATAATTGGCGATTTTTGTCGTTACGAAAAAGGGAAAAGGTGTCGTAACGTAACGTTTGTACCACAGCACTTCCAGAGGCCCAGACGAGGCAAACATCTTACACTCATAATAGCCTACGAAAATATTAGCAACTACTGGTCCTAGTGCTCTTTACTTAAACTTTACTCACTATGGTATTTGCTATCTTTAGAACTATTTTCACATATTTGCTTATAACTGTAAAATACTGCTGCAAGCAAACACAGCAAAAACGATACGCGTGATATATGTGCTCGCACGAAAAGCCTGGTTACTAAGCTAAAAACATCGCCACGTAGATGACAAAATCACAGCACTACATGCAAACTACATTAATGACTTTCATACTCACATCAACAAACAGAACAGCCACATACAATTAACCAAAGATGTCGAAGAAAACGGACCTCTTCCTTTTCTCGACTGTTTGGTAAAACATGACAATCAAAAACTACGAACAACAGTTTATCGCAAGCCAACACATACTGACCGACTACTAGACCAATCATCTTACAACCCTACATCACACAAAGCCACCACAATCAGAACATTAACAAGACGTGCACAAATCATATGTGATTCACCGGACGCTATACACAATGAAAACAACTATCTCAAACGTGTTTTTGAAATAAACAACTATAACTCTGACTTTATCGAACGCAACACCTACAAACTCAACGAACCCAACGAAACGAACAACTCAGTGACAACAGCAACGATACCTTACATCAAAGGTACCTCTGAGACTATCTTGCGTATCTTACGACCATACAACATACGTGTCGCACATGAACCAATCACAACGTTACGCCAAGTACTAACGAACATAAAGGACAAAGAACAACCCAACGAACGACAAGGTGCAGTTTACAAAATAAACTGCTCCGACTGCCACGCCTCCTATATCGGGGAAACTGGCAGGAACTTAAACATAAGACTTACTGAACACAAACGAGCTACTAAGAAACAAGACAAAACTAATCACATTGCCGAACATCACCGAATCACAAAGCACTACATTGACTGGGACTCGGCAAAATGCATTACTTACAGTACTGACTATAGAAAGGCTTACATTAGAAAGTTGGTATACCAACTTGGAACAAACCCCCCTGAACAGATCACAGCAATTACCGGCACTTTACAAAGGACTTATTCACAATACAAACAAACGATCAACTTAAAACATGACACTTCACACTATTTCACAATGACAATACACAATTGACACCCACACATTACAACTAAAAACATCACACCTAAATCACACATCACAACTAAAAATGAAAATATTTCACTTCACACTAATTCACAATGACAATGCACATTTCCTGTACACACAATACAATGACGCAAGAACCAGATAACAAATACGGCTAACCTGACGTTTACTCCTCATTTGACTCTGACGATGACTACCGCTAAGGTTGTCAAAACGTCAGTCAACAACAACAAAAACAGTCCTTCTGAGGACTATACCAACCTGGACGATCTACATTTACAAACATGTAACGATACTCCCGGGTTCAAACCATTTACTTTAAGCTAAAGACATGTGATTAATCAAGATTGATCTCATTCTATTCGTGTTGCATGTTCACACTATCATGCGGACTAATCCGATTCGAGACTCTAAGACCACCTTTTGAGCTGGCCGAAATTAACTCTGATCGAATTCGTTTTCGCATCACTTGTAAGTGTTCACATTAGCTCTCGTACGGACTCTAATCGATTTCGAATTGATTTAAAGTGTTAGTGTGAATGGGCCCTAAAGTAGCACAAGTTTCCAAATTGACAATTCGAATAGCAACATGCAAATCGTCAAAACAACTTATTAACAACCAATATATCATAAACCACTCGTTAAAAGGAACAATGCTAGCAAGAGTGAAGCATATTGCTGATAACTGATACAATGGAATACAATGCATCCTATCTTCAGATTAGGGCAATCAAGCTTTTAAACAGGCAAATTCAGGTAAAATTTTTACGACTAAGACCAACTTTTGCGAAAAAATTAAAGTTATTTTGTCGCAAATATGCATGTGCGTTAAAAAAGAAAGCGTATTCCACACTAAACATTTCTGTGAAAAACAACCTGTTTTATACGTCGCATTTTACATGCGTCGAATGCATTTAAAACAAAAGAAATTGAGATAAAATTCCTCATTAGTTTTGTATGCAATCGACTCATGTAAAATGCGACGTAAAAAACAGGCTTTATGTAAATTTTCAATGATGCATTTCAAGTGCTAGCAATAAATCTATAGTTAATATACAAGGTGTATAGAAAATGATTGACTCGAGGAGACAAGTTCTCGAAAAGTAGATGCACGCTAAATAACCAAAAACCTTTACTAATTTTAAGTATTTTAATGTTCTTTGACATAGCAGACACTTAAAATTCGGAAAATGCAAGATTTTTTACATTGTTAAAAATCCTTCAAAACAGACCTTTCGGAAAAAATAATCAAAAAAAAAAATTTATCGTAATCTCAAATTTTTGGCGCACGCGCTGAAAACATGGATTTTTGCGTTTTTGCATTTCATACCTTGCTTTATACAACAAATACACTTTCAAGAATTGGAGTTGATAATTTCACATTGTAATTTATGCAATTTCCCGATAATGCATATATTGAACTTGATATGATAGCACAAACTTTGTTTGAAATGCACAAACTCGAAATAATCCAAGTTTTGAAGACATCGAGTTTGCCAGAGCGTGCACCAAATTACTTGAAACTTTGATAGGTTGTGCAACACAGTCCATATTTTGAATCTGGGTGATTAAATTGCTATTCTAATTATTAATTTTTGTGCACAGGGCCTGTTTGGAGGGACTGTTAAGAACAGATCATACCACAATTCTCCTCTTTTATAAACGGTACCTCGTCAACGGAGGTGTCAGGTTTTGGACAGCAGCAATTACCCATATATGGAATCTACTGTTAGTTACAAGTCAACAAAAGATTCTTCTTTGTTACGTCAGTTGTAAAGGCCAAATGTTTAATTCATCTGTCTAGATGAAAAAGACAAAAAAAATCAACTTTGTCGTTAGTGTCTCTACTTCAAAAGCATACGAATGAGCGTGCAGTCCCAGCATGTAGTATGGCAGATGAGAATTACATATGGGATTACACCTCGATTACACACGTGATACTCATGGTTTCTACCATTGCTTTATCTGCTGTGTAGCAGTGGCGTAGACTGCTTCATCAATAATTGGGGAGCCAATACTGATATATGTATGTTGTAATCTCAAGAAAACAATGGATTTCAAAGGAATTTAATACAGATTATAAATGAATATTGCCCTCCAATTATCGAGCTGGCTACGCCTCTGCTACGTAACCATAGCCTGACACTGTGGATGGGTGATATGATACCATCCATTTGGGAGACATCAAAACCAGATTTTCATACCAATAGGACTTTATTTGCACAGTTTGTTACATTTCACAATATACTATACAACAATCGAATTTATCAAAACTTTCTTCCAAGCATATAGGGGTAATTTTACTAATTTTAACAATGATTTCTCCAAAATTGTAAAATCTTGAAAACATTTTCTGAAACACAATGAGGTATTTCATGAGGTATTTGATTGCCAAGTATATAAATGAGTAATAGCAAAACAATACTTGGTGTTAAAATCAATATTGTACACAAATCATTTGTATGATGGTATTGGAAATCGAAAAACAGATCAACTCCTACCTAATCTTGTTTAAATAAAAAACAATGTATCTTGCTATAAACATATTTGACTAAAGTATACAAGTTAATTTTATTTTTAACTTTGCTTGTCACATATTTTAGTGCATAAAGTTATACAACAAGGTGCATTAAATTTGATTACCCATTTCTTTTGTGCTAGCTTTAGCATTTCAGATTTTAGTTGCATTTTTAATCTTATTTTCAGTATAAACAAAATATCACAACTTATTCACACATAGCTAAAGATTTCACACGTACGCAATTCTTCTATTTTGATTATGAAGCAGTTGATTCTTTTCAAAATGTCATCAGATCAAAATAACAGCTTTGCATTCATGCCAGTAGATAAACCTTACAAAATTTTCATGTTATATCTGTAGAGCCTTAAACTGATTTTTTTGTACGAAGCTTAAAGATTTAAAATGCTATGATATCTATTATGAACCAAACCCAATCTATATATATAATATAAATCCTAACACAGTTTTATATGCACATGAAAAACATGTGACTTGGATGAGATTTTAATTCGCACCTTTGGGATACTAGTCCGTCGCTGTACCTGTTGAGATACCAAGCCCATGGGGAATGGAGACAAGTGAAATGTCTTAGGATTTATATTATGAACCAAACCCAATCTAAATACAGTTAACACAAGAAGTTTTTATTTTGACAATGTCTTAACCTGGCAAAGAAATGAAGAACATAATTCTATTTGATTGTAGATCACACCAGAGAGATTGAGTACTGATAAATATGTCTCTAAGTAAGTACTTTCACAACATTCACAAGACATGTGAACAATAAGGAGAATCTAAATTCAAACAGCAAGCCTTTGCTTTGCACAAGTGGCATGATTAAGGGGGTGTTTACATGAATCTGGAATGACTTTCAATCCCGATCGAAACGTGATGTAAATCCGTGTTTACATGAAACTAATTGTTGTTTTTCTTCACACTCATTTTAACCCATTTAGCCTCTTTATTTACTTACAAGCTTCAATTTGCCAGAAGACAATACCCATGGCACATGCGTGCTTCGTCATTAATCACAATATCATTCCAGAATGAAACTCAATTTGCGTTTACATGAGATAAAAAGTAAATTTCGATCCGGAATGAAACTAGGAATGAACTCGATCCGGATCGAGTTGTGACTCATTCCGGATTCATGTAAACATGCAGTAGGATTTCTTTTAAAGTGGAATGAGTTCATTCCGGATCAAAACTCATTCCGGATTCATGTAAACACCCCCTAAGAACTAAATTATATGGCTTGCATTCCCAATGCAAATTACATTCACTATATGTACTTAATAAAACCAAGGCTTACTTTTCCTTATAATCTAATTCTTTCATAACGGTTTTTCTTCATTCCAAGAGCTTTGTGACCCATGTTCACGAGGAAGCTACAATGCAGCATAAGAGTTAACGTATCATGCATGGTTAGTTGTTTATAAGCTTCATATTTGTGCATTTATTCTCGTTAGCTTTTACTTTCAGGAAAAAACAATTTGGGTGTTTTTGGCAAAATTATAATATATCAATGACAGCTAATTTGTCAAGCAAGTGACCCTTATCCATTTTATTTTCACACTTGTAGCGCTTACAGCGTTTTACGAACTCTATCTACTTTATTGATTCATGTATTTTTTATTTACATACATGTCAAGTATTTATCTATGTCATTATCTATTTTACAATATTGAATACTTCTTACAGTCGTGAACTCATGTTTTTATAGAGGTCGATATATTCTAGTTATATTTACCACACAGAAGAGAACAAACTTAAGCGGCTCGAAACTAAGAAGTTGTTCCTTTATTTACATTAATGTTCACAACACCTATCGCTGATACAAATAACGCAAAATAGTTCACATACAAACGACAAACCGAAAGATTGACAAAGATAAAGCCAAGACAAGACTTCCCAAAAGTAATACTTATGAAATGGTTTACTTACATGTCAATTTACAACTCTGATACCAACACCATCGTCACAGAGAATGCACAGAATACTAACTTATTAACTGTACCTCTGACTATACGACAACTTACTCCCTGGATAAATATTCATAGGATAACGATTTACGAATGATTAGTGGCTAAAAAATATGGCCGCCGACCCCCGTCTCGCGTTTTTAGGAATTTAATCTTCAATTCAGAAATTTCTAGAGTTGGCACTAATACAATGTTGTAATTTTAAAGGTAAAATATACAAGAATTCAATTAAAATAACGAAACATGCATGGAGGTAATTAATAAGCTAGAGTCCCTCGGCAATATTCATGCTTTGAAGTTCCATACACACCAATGATACACACTACAATAATAAAATCAATCGAAATAAACTGAGAATGTAGATCTTGACCTAACAAGTGACAAATGACTGAAAGAGACAGATCTGGCTAACTATTTAAAAGACTGAAATTCATAAATGCCAGCTTGTGGCTTAAAATATACCATCTTTTGTCTAAAGAAAAATGCAACACAACTAAGCCTGAATAGACAAAAATTCAGCAACTTTGACTTCGTCATCATTAACCTCATCGTACACAGATTTCCTTTTAACAATTTCAAAGCTGCAACAAAAGAAATACTAGGAAATGATCACAACCTCACATGAAAGTGTCATTTTATTCAAATATTACCAATTTCCCCAATTCAATAAGTTGTTCTTTTTATGCGTATCAATCTTTTACTCGATGCACCAGATACAAGTGAAGAGATTACGGTTTTTGGTAGAATATTTAAGAAAAGTGACACGTACACAGCACTAGTTTGTTGTTACATAGCTATTTACCGTTAAGATCAGGGTAATCAATAACAGCTTCGCTTTTCTTTCCCTTGCCTTCTTCAAGTTTTACAGGATGTTCACTGTCTAAAAAATGTTTGCAACGGCAATATACAGAATTCAAAACAAACATGCATTAAGTACAATAAATGAAGAGGAGAACTAGAGTGAAAAGAACAAATATAGTGTCATGGACCCCTAATTTACAGCTTGCCATCGAAAATGAAAACTCATTTCTGTGTCTTACTTGGAAAATGTTTCTCTAGATCAGGTCTTGCCTTTCAGTCACTCAATCTTATGGCTCTGTTAACTAGATAAGGCAGTTCCTCAAAAAGTTGAAGAAAATACTCTTGATAGTTTCCATCTTTAACACATGATGACAGTTGTGGACGAGATTTATCATGCCAATGCTGGCGAACGTTTCGTAAAAATCTTAGGCAACCTAACCATGTAGAGTCGGATACTTTATTGAAATGATTAAAGAATTCAGGATCGATACGGTCCATCCAATCTATTGAAAGATTCAACTGCTCACGAAGATTTGAGGGAAGAGAATGTGGAGATGATGTCTTTATTTCTGGTTCATTCCCAACATCACACAGCAAATCAAAATTCTCTTTATCGGTTTGTAGATAAGGGTGTTTTAACGCCTTTTTGGCCGATGGTCTGTCTTCAGGTTTTAGCTGTAGCATCCACGATAAAAGGTCTTTAAACGTGGCATCCTTGATTTCGTTCAAGCCATCTGGATTTCCTTTCAAAATGTTGTCCAGTCTATGCCGTTCAATTCCAAAAGGATGTTTCCCCTTTGTTGCAACATAATAAGCCACCATTCCGGCATTCTATTTTCAATAAAAAATGGAGTTAATTCATTTGTTAGTTGCAAAAAATACAAATTCAGTTCCAAAAAAATCAGAATAATGTTCTCTAATTAAGAATCGTAGCCATAAATTTTTTAGAGCAATCTAAATGAGAGACATACAATCGTAAAACCAATAAGGCAATAACAACAATTCATTATCATACCTATACATATTTTTATATTCTATACAGTAAAACTTGTTTTTCGCCACTATATGACTGTACAATGAAGGTAAACAAAAATTTTATTTAAAAGTGATAATGATATCAGTGACAGTGATAATGATATCCCTACCAAATACAACATTCAAACGCAAACACAACATTGACCTGTAGTTGGACCTCTATTTCTACTTCAAGAACTTACCATAACATCAGACTCTTTTTTGTAACGAACTTTATCAATTGATTCATCTGATGCGTCATATGACTCTGGAGCTATCCAACCTTTAGCTCCTCTCCTCTTTGTATGCTTTGATGTGTCGAAGTTTCATTTAATAATTTTCGACTTATACCAAAGTCAGCGATTAAAAATTTTCCATCCACATCTCGAAGAACGTTTGATGGTCTTAAATCCCGATGAAGAATAGAACACGGACCACTGTGGAGGTAAACTAGACCATTCAAGGTCTGAATAAGATCTTTAGGAACGACTTTTTGAAGATCTTGCAAACAAGAAGATTTCACGTAACTCTCTAACGATTCTTCACACAAATCCAATATCAAATACAAATAATCTGTGCCTGGTTCTTCTTCAAGATACCAATAATTCACAACATAATTTGAGCGCTTGGCATTCAACTCATTCAAAATATCTTTTTCTCGTTCTGCTAACTCCGAACAGTTATCTCGAAGCAATCGTTTTACTGCTTTTCCATAACCATCTTTTCCGAGTCCAAGGTAAACACGAGTTCCATCACTTCTTTTCCCAAGCAAAAACTCTTCAGAACAAATAACCTTTACACCATTAACAAGTTTAACTTTTCTTGGATTTTCCTGCCCATATTTCTCCATCATTCTGAACTTTTGCTGGTGCATTATTGATTTATCACAACATTTCCACGGTTGAGACAGCAATTCTTTAATTAAAAGTAAATTAGACTATTTAGAAAGGAATAAATCAATGTATCAAGAAGCAATTTAATTTTCTAATTATACGCACATCAAAAAAATGTGACTATTTGACAAGATTTGAAATACCTACACCGCTTTGGCAGTTAAGGTGAACTGACTTTTATATTTAGCTACGAAATGCTTCTTTATATTTAGCTACGAAAGCCTTCTTATATTTAGCTACGAAAGCCTTCTTATATTTAGCTACATACAAATTCAAACTTGTCGCATTTAAGTCAAACGTTTGACGCAATGGAATTTGAGCATTGTCATTACATATACAGAAAGAATTCGCAAATTTTATGGCAAAGCGTACCAGTGTTAAATCATAAAGAGAATACGATAAAATAAAACTTACAATAATTTCAGTGCTTGTTCCACTACTTAAAGCTTTTGCTTCGTCTGATGAGAAGCAACTATCAAAATAATACGTATGACTTGTTTTGCATCGCGTATGTAAATAATCTTTTAACAATGGAAGCATTTCCAAAGATCACAGCTGGAAAAACTATACTTTCCCTTAGGGAGGGTGGGTGGAGAAAATAAAATTTGTGAATATTGAATTTGAAATCTTTTATTTAAATTTTATATGCGCATGCAATTGAGCATGTTTTCTATCGTAAAGATAAAATTTGTTTTACGGATTATAAAATTAATGTATATGAATATGCCCCCCAATTATTGTATTGGCTACGTGCATGATCCTGTGCCAATAAATAATATACAAGTCTTACCAATCGTAACACGAATAGTGCATGAGTGTAAATAAGAAAATTAGTGAATTATTGTAGGCGGGTTGTAAAGAAAATATAAAGTCAAATTGGGTCTACAGCAGCTTGCTAGTGGCATTTGCTCCGTACGTTACAGTTACTACCAGTTTTTGTTCATGCAGAGAATGTGAAAATGGAGTAGCCATTGTGGCATGTGGGTGATTAATCTGTCTGACCAGCGTTCTTGACATGAAAATGGCTGTTTACTCGCATGTTTTATTGTGCGTGTTAAATTAACTAAATTCAAATTCTAATTATAGTCCAGTTGCCAAATGCCACTTTAAGACAGAACGTTGCTGTGAAGGACCCCAAGGTTTTTGCACTTTTTGTATCTTTACAAAATATAAAATTCATAATTTTAAGAGTGTCAACTTGGCACTCTTGGTGAAAATCTAATTTACGAGCTCATATATTGGCTGACACATTCTATTTCTAGATTTCAGCCATCCAAACTGTCTCACCTCTACTTTTTAGCACATGTTTAAATAAATTATGAAAATAATACTTACTGATACAGGCATGCTATGTTGTAGAAATGTAGATACAAAATGAGTTACAAAGATTTTATAAACAAAGAGGTTAGGAATCTAAAATTTTATTATTTGGCTGTTATTGAACATTTCCACTGACTGAATAAAAAATGCTGCGAACGAGAGATTGTCGGGTTTTGTGGTGATTTTGACAAAGGCCATATGAACATTTTCTAAATTACTGTAATTTAACCCGATAACAAAGACATATTTTAATATTGCATAAATGTACTCTTTCAGTCATACCTGTTTTATGACTTCTTTTGCATTTATTTCCTGATCTTTCACCGTATTTTAAAAATAAGGTCATTGTTTTGACATAGAACAGTCATATCCAGATTTTAAAGTACAATGATATCTTATGACTCATATATGATGTAAAGACACACGAATCGTAATGGAACATTTATGGAATATTTTGATTCTTTCCAAGACGCACAGCTTCATCTATCTTGACAAATTCTGGAGCATTTTGCCAGTTACGATATTAAATAAACTCTTACAATGGCCTTCTGGATTTAGTGGATCAACACATAATTGCAGCTTTTCCCTCAATTTCTGTCGATTTTTTGCATCCGAAAATATACGTGCTGGCATTTCTTCGTTATGGGTAGCTACATCGTTTGATGATGCCTCTTCATCTTTCATTGCAGAAGCACATTTAATCAGATGGCTGCAATATGAAGACTGAATGCCCAACGAGATATTGCTGAAGAGTTTAAAGTTTTACCAATTTAGCCGCCTGGCCCATTACAATAACCCATAAACAATGTTTCGATAAACATATCCGACCAAACTCATTCCATAAACCAGGCTTATGGCGTATTACATGCTTCCCTTTCATAAATCTATCTCTAAGTTCCGAGACGCTCCATTGAGCGCAAGTTATATAAACCATATCTTGCGTAGTTGAAATGCCCACCCGCAAAAAATTGGGCATCATAGCCTCTACTGCTCCAAGATGTAAAGGCCAGTCACCCTCTTTCTCTGCCCGAACAAACATCATCATGATGAACACTGGTTTAATGAAACTTTCTACCAAAATTTTGGTTGTCCTACTTTTCTCAGCCTTTTCTTCCATTACCAATGTCAAGTGCTCAAAGCACTAGATATCTTTAATAACATTTCGTAAAATTTCCTTAGCAAGCATTCGCAGAGTCCGGACATTCTGAGGAAATCGTTTACCAGAACGCTTACGGTCAACACCTGCAAAAGCCGCTTGAAGGATCTCTTTAAAACCCATATCAGACATAAGTGATCCAGAGCATCCAACAAAACCCACGAACATATGCATTCCTCAATGTCTCGGATGAATTTCTTGAACATATGCGGATACGCCAAAAGGATGTTTACCATTACTCGATATAGTTGTTGATCAGAAGTAAAGCTGTGTAATCCTGGCCAGTTTTGGGTCTGAGGTAAGTGAATGCCATCGACTATGGTGACGGGGATCCTTTCGCATAAAACATTTTCACCGCAAAAACACAGTCTTCCTGGAAAGAAAACGTTGTTCTTGAATTTGATTGTCGTGTACGTTTTACAACAAACGAGCAAGTTGTAGCATCAGTTTTTTCTTGACTCACGCTTTGAATCTTTAAATGACGCTTTATATGGGTCAGTGACAGTGGCGTGCGGTCATGCAAGCGTAGGCAAGCGCCGCTTGCCTAAGCATTTTACCGAACAAAAATTTTTTGGATCAATCTCTGAGCAAAATCAGTTTAAATTTTTCTGTTCTAAACAATGTCAATGTAATCTTTTGTCTAAATTGTCTTTACAGTTGAAATGCTTGCTATTTATACGCGATTTACTGTCGTGGTTTTCTGTTTCACTTTGCTACACTTGTAAGATGAGTTGAGTGGATTAAATACAAATTAAAAATTCCTTATTTATTAACCAAGGCAAGCGTGCTTGCCTTCGGAGCTCAATTTGAACATTTGCGCATGCGTTAATCTAGATTTGGAGGCTTCTTATTCGAGGAATATCGAAAGGCAAGCGGCGCTTCTAAGGGCGCCGCTTGATAGCGATTGGTCAACAGTCTTGTACGCTCGCAATTTTAAACACATATCAGCGCACGAATAATATTCGTATATTCAACACATTGGACATCCGAATTATTCACGCCGTTAATGTTATCGTTTATTAAAAGATGACTGAGAGCGAAAGGTAATGTTCTGATTTCTAATTCAAAGTAGTAGGTGCTTTACTGGTTATTTTATTATTTTCTGCGCACAATGTGCGTAAACAAGCAGGGCCGCAGTCTGCAGAGATATCGAAATGCACGCAAACGTGTGTTGTGGTAAAGTATGACTAGCATTATGACCAAAACACTATGCTCTTGTCAGTCTTGTGTCGTTGAATTCGTAAATTAATGACTAAAAATAAAAGGTACAAGATACTAAATAATAAACACGACTCTCCGATATTCTGAAGTCAGTGCCAGACACATTTTGAAGAACGGGAGAACACGTTGCCATGACGTCATTATACCAAAATATAAACATTAAACAACGCCATGGCCTCAGTTTGAACACCGTGCCAATTTTGTGCGTGAAACTGGCTGTCAGGGTTGTCAATAATTGATTGCAATTAAATTGTCTGCCCAATCAATTAATTGAAATTGATGGTTTGTCCAATCAATTAATTTTAATTGATGCTTTTAATCAATTAATTGGTTACAAATAATTGCAATTAATTGAAACTCGATTAATTTTGACAACCCTTGTATACTTTGTCTACATATCTTTTAGTACTACACACTAACATTAATATCGTGTAGAAATAGGTACGTCTATTGTACAGGCAATAGCAATAGGTATAGCAACAGTAAATATATTTAACTTTTTTCTCTATGTCATAGGCCACACATTTAGGTTCTATAAGTTTTCAGATTCCCATTAAGAATGAAAAAGCGAAGAAGAAAAAAAAATGTAATGTCAACATGGCATAATTCGAGTTTTTCGAAAATGTAGGCCTACAAAAAAACAAATTTAGAAATCTAACAAGAATACAAATACAATCACATAAATTATGTGATTATCAAAAAGGCAAAAAGGGTTGCAACCAAGTGTTCAACCAAGTGTTCAGCAGTTTTTGCAGATTGACCTTTGATGGAGCTGCTGTGACAAGACAAAAGTAGTTACAATGTAAAAAAAAAAGAAAAAAGCAGTCAATGCCCAATCAATTAATTGAACATGGGAGTTTTGCCCAATCAATTAATTTTAATTGATGCTTTGTCCAATCAATTAATTGGTTACAAATAATTGCAATTAATTGAAACTCAATTAATTTTTGACAACCCTTGCTGGCTGTTCTTAATTGTTATAATCACGACTGCTACAATACATTTCGCGCCTATTGTCTTGCAATTTATGTATGTAGAAGATATTATCTGTAGCATGTAATACAAGATTATGATATTGACAAGAGCTTCCTTTTGCGTAGTAGTTTTGATATTTGTATCCGGTAGATATCATGTAACTGATGTAAGGTATAAATAAGATTGATGTTCCTATAAAATATATAGCATAGGAATTTTCATCCTTTTATGTTCTACTTCTACATTCGGTATTTTCACGTACACCACGACCCCAGCGCTTGCCTATTA